ATAGAAGGCAATTGTTTGATAAGTTCACTAAACCGTTATTTCCGTTATGTTGATGACACTTTCATTTCGTTTTCATCCCATGATGAGACAGGCAGTTTTTTTTTTCAACATCTAAATTGTATCCGCCCCTCTTTACAAAATTACGATGGAAGTGGAGAATAATAATACTTTACCTTTCCTGGACGTGCTGGTTGAGAGAATTCCGACTACTTTCCTGACCAGCGTATATATATAAGCCCACTTTTACTGGGTTATCTCTATTTGGAGTCTTCTGTTCCTAACAGAAAATTAACCTTGTCAAAACACTTATTGTGCATTGATGATATATTTCGAGTGCAAAATTACCAATATCTCACCTACGGCTATCCGGAAGGTGTCATCAAAACAAACATTAGACTTAAAATTTCTAAGTTTAAAGAAATTAAAACATTTGGTCCAACTAAGTATCCTGTCTACATGAAATTATGATGGATTGGCTCATATATTCAATCATGCGCTGATAAGGTCTTCTTAACTGTCATTCACTACTACTTGGAGTGCTTTCCCATGTGTTCGTAAGGATGTCTTGCCAACCAGAGTTCTGTTATTTATCGTTTCAAGTGTCGGTGTGAGGCCAAATGCGTGGATAAGAATATCCAATGACTGGAGGTTCGGATTTCGCAGCACGGACCTGGCTTTATACATATACATGCTCCATTAGCATCCGGGCACTCGCAGGTGCATGAGTCAGCTAGCGAGGACCATTTATTGAGTTATGTAACATGTGGCTCCAATTATTCGGCAGAGTTCTTCTCTGCGCTGCACAGGGATTGGATGAAACACCATATTAATATCTCGGGGCAGTTGTTATCAACATGTGTCTTCCAACTCTGTGTAGGCAGAGGGAGCTGAAACATAAATTGACACTCTTCTGCCAGTCTTTAATTTTTAAGCCAGAGAATGAATGCTGATACTATTACTGAAGGCCTAAATGATATTTTCCTCTCATAAATGCTCAGTTGGGAAGATATCGTGAGGCTAACTAAAAACGATTTGAACCAGTTCTCTTTCTAGCTGAATAACTCAAAGGGTTTTACAGTGATTCTTATGTATGTATGTATGTATGTATGTATGTGTGTTTGTACAGCAAGATAACTTTCGGGCATGTCTGATTGAATAAGTTATAAACATTACGTCTGATTATTTTGATCAGAATCCTTTCATATTCATGAATATTTTTCAGTATATTACAATTAAATACGCCAAGAAATTCACTGTAACTGTGAGAAACACTTTTATTTCCCAAGTACTTCCCATTTCTGCCTGTGATCATCACCAGGGGTGTAAATGGTACTGTAAAAACTATGTTTTATTATCCATTACAGAATTTTTCTGATCTCATGGATATATCGATATCTTAATCCACTGTTCTTTGTTATGGATAAGAATGGATCTTGTACAGTTCATAATAATCCATAACAATGAACAGTGGATTAAGAACAACACTATTGACCAATTCGATAGTTCCATAGTATCTTTAGACTCTTCTGAGTATTCCGACCTTGTTGGTTTATTTATCTTATATAATCATAGGGCTCATCAACATTGATAATATAGGGTTATATAGAGATGGTGGCCTTATGGTGGTGAAAAATTCCACAAAAATTAAGCTGACAATCAGGAAATTAATAAATAGAGAATTTAAAAGTTTCAGCCTTATAGTTAAGAACTACACTAATATAAATAAGTAGATTTCCTGGATCTTACATTAGACCTAGTTAAAAATCTATTCCAACCCTACACGACAACAAACGCCAATCTAATATATATCCACCCAAATTCTAACCACCCCACTTAAATATTTTGGGAACTTAAAAAAATTATTAAAACACCAACGGTAATATGGAAAATACTAAAAAACTAGAACTTGTAAATCTTTAAATGAACCGTGTTTCTTATATTTACATAAAAAATTAGAAATCATCAAATTTGCTAACAAAAAAAAAAAAATCTCTATTAAACCAAAAGAGTGAATTAACGGTAAATTACTGACAGCTTATATTTTACATTAAAATATAGTTAAATTTAAAAAAAAACAATATTTCTTACCATTTCTTATAGCCATAATTTATTAGTATATAATGGTCCACCCTCTACGGGTAATTACATTATTTTGTTTATCTAGCTTTAATGTTGCTATGTATTGCCGTCAAGTTAGTGTTATTAATATCTTATATCTTATATAGATGCCCCGCGTTTTTAATTTTAACTACAGTGTCCTTTAAGAAGCTTCCTGAATTTAAAAAAAACAAACTTTTTTCTTATTTTTACGTCTAACCTACCCCTCCCTTCAACGCTCTTTCAAAAAATTGAATATGTCATATTTCTCTATAATCACGATATATTTGTCGCTGACATATTTTCCGTAATCGTCAATAATGGCCTGTCTATATTCCGGTTTATGAAAAAATAAGTCCTAACCTCGTCATCTGAGCTTACTTTTCTATTTAATTGGTTAATCAAGATATACCCACAAGTTTATTTTTAATTTTGACCTTATGTCCCCCACGCACTTTAACTTTCGGAAAACTGGTAACAGTTTGTTTTTAAATTTCCTTAAAAAATCATTTAATTACCAGTTACTTACCATCACCTGCAATCATAGTATTGAAACATGAAACCTTTTGCGTAGCGATTTCAACATGTTTTATTATAATCACTTATGATATTGCTGTACTTTGTATTGAGAATTTTAAAGTAAATGCTACGAACAATGGAATTTTACTCCATCTGTTCTATCACTATCTCATATATATATATATATATATATATATATATATATATATATATATATATATATAAAAAATAGATAACTATACTCGTTTCGAAAAACCCTCAAATTTTTGATTTGCCAATAATCAAATCAATCTCGAGGGAAAAAAAGGTTTTAAAAAAAGAAAGAGCTACAAACATGAAAGTCTGTCGAAAAAAATCGCACAGATACAGGTTTGAAGCCCAAAGAAAAAAAAACCCGATACGAGTAAACAACTAACAAAAGAGCTCAATACAACCGTAGAGCAGACCTAGATAAACCTAGTCAGCCAGACAAACCTACCTAGGTTTCACGACGATCCGTTTAGGTAGGTTTGTCTGGCTCACTAGGTTTATATATATATATATATATATATATATATATATATATATATATATATATATATAGGTTCGACCTATCATCATTTGCCAGAATCAAACATCTATACATTTTCAAAGATAATGTTAAGCTGGTAGATAGATAATTTTGGAAGGGCCCGATATTAATAAATGGAGAAAACGACTGAAGGAAAATTGGGAATAATGGGGGGAAATTTTAGAGAATTGATGGATCGAAGTTGAGGTCTTGGTGAGACAAATAGAGGTGAAAATGGCAAAAACGTCGTTAAGTATTGCATTGATTGAAAGAGAAAAGGTTCTGGACTGATTGGCTGGAAAGCCTCGCCGTTGTGCAGACATAAACAGGGAAACAGTGAAGGCGGGCGGGAAGGTGTTAATTAGTTGACGTGAGAAGAGGCGGACAGGAGCAAGGATTTCAGCGACACCTGCCAGTTAGAAATAGACATTAATTAGATTAAGCAAGTATGTAATCAGCAAGCTTTTCGACAATGACATCGGAGGTGAGGCGAATAGCTTTAGAACAAGCAACAATGTTAAGAGAAGACCGAAGGAAAAGAAGAAACGGATCGCTCGTCGGATATTTTGTTTTGACTCGCGCTCATTTTTCAGATCTAAAAATCAGATATTCACAATAACAATATATTTCTATATTATATGAACACATTAATCCGATTACAAACGGTATACATACACGCCCGCACCCACACACACGCACACGCGCACACACAGATATATATATATATATATATAACAAAGTAAATAAACACTACAGTAGTTGTTTAAAGTCATGAGTTATGAATTTCATCTTAACGTCAATAAACTGATAGAGACAATATGTCTATATAATTCAATGAAAGATGTTTGAATGAAGATATGCTGCTTGTACACACACACACACACACACACACACACACACATATATATATATATATGAGATAGCTGCTGCAGTAGCTGATAGTAGGTTAAATCAGAGAATATATATATATATATATATATATATATAAATCAGAGAATTATATATATATATATATATATATATAAATCAGAGAATCAGAATTATATATATATATATAAATCAGAGAATCAGAATTATATATATATATATATATATATATATATATATATATAAATCAGAGAATCAGAATTATATATCTATCTATCTATCTATCTATCTATCTATCTATCTATCTATATATATATATATATATATATATATATATATATATATTATCCGATTGATTTTAATTTATTTGTTGAAACTTTATTTTGGAAATGGATACTCATATTTGAGTAGATGCTGTTTTTTTTAATTTATTTATTTCTTAAATAATATACCATAATTTTGACATGAGAAAAATGCTACTCTGATCAAAGGGAAATAATTCACTACGACGTAAATGTCTAGAGTGTGCCTTGATCCAAAGCTCATCTACGGTAAATTTGCTCCCTGGCTCTTACAACTTTTCACCATTACTGGCAGATATTCTAATATCACAGTGTGGAATACCTATTAAGAAAAATGATGCTGGGAAAAATAAAGAAGGATAAATAAATTCGGCCATCATAACAAATCTAGACCGATTATTTTCTGAAGGACGAAACGCGCCACAAGAAAACATTTTCCACTATATATATATATATATATATATATATATATATATATATGTGTGTGTGTGTGTGTGTGTGAGGCGATTTCTAACTCACACACACAAACACACACACACACACACACACACACACATATATGTATTTGAGGTGGTTTCTGAATATGTTTTAGGCATTTCTTAATGTATATGTTGGTGTATAATGATTTGATGTCAAGCCTAGTCATCAAATCATTATACACCAACATGTTGTTTCCTCTTTGTTTCTTACTATCTCTTTCTTTCTATCTTTTTTCCATCTCTTTTTTCTCTCACTTTCTTTGTCTCTTTTTCTTTTTCTTTCTGTTTTCTTTTCTTTCTTTTTCTTTCTGTTTTCTTTTCTTTCTTTTTCTTTCTGTTTTCTTTTCTTTCTTTTTTCGTTCTCTTTGTTTCTTTTTCCTTTTCTTTGTTTTTCTTTCTTTTCTTTTGTCTTTCTTACGTTTTCTTTCTCTTTCTTTCCCTTTTTGCTTTCTTTCTCTGTTTCTTTTTCTCTTTCTTTCTTTCTTTTTCTTTATTCTTTCTTTCTCTTTCTTTCCTTTTCTGTCTTTTCTTTTTCCTTATTTTTCTTTTTCCCTTTCTTTCTTTCTTTCTTTTATTTCTTTGTTTCTTTATCTTTGTTACTTTTTATTTTTTCTTTCTCTTTCTTTGTTCTTTTTCTTTTTTTTTTCTTTCTCTCTTTCTTTCCCCCTTTCTTTTTATTCATTTTATTTGCTATTTAATGTTGTCCCTCTTGGTTATTTATTATTTAAATCTTCCATCATTTTTTTTTCTTCAAATCATTTCTCGCTTTCTGAAATTCTTATTTTCTTCTAAAACTAAAATGTCAAATATAGAAAACAGTTAACTAATAACGTGAATGTTATCTCAGACGAGAGATAAGTGAACATTTCATTTATTATTATAATTAATGTTCTATCACTTTATATTGAGCATTAGAATGACCAAAATTAAAGACGTTATCTCCCAAAATAACCTTGTCAACCGAAACAATCTTTGCTGTTGTTTACATAAATATTTATCTCCAGAACATTCCAGTTTCTTATGATTTCTCGTTCATACGTAGCAGGAAAATTACTGAGGTCTGCAACATGTCGCTTATCTGTTTATTGACTTATAAATCTGGTGCACACATGCAAAATAGAGAACCTGAATGTTAGCAGAGATTTCCTGGTCTCGATTTCGTGCCACATGGTTGTTATAGTGGTTTGGGCTATTTTGGACCAACAATAATCACCAGAGGAAAGACAGCGTGCTTAAAAGCGGGTGTAAATGATCTTTGTATGTTTCAGACATGAGTCTGTCTTGTGGTTTGTTGCGGAATATGTAAGAGTAGATGTAACACTATTAACCAGCCAACATCGGCGTGTACAACAGCTTGCAGGCAAACCCACGTGAAATCATCTACGCACTAATTTAACTGTCGCCTCTGAAAAGTTAGAAAGATAACCACTGGCATAGGAAGAGCGCAGTGGCCGATTTACTGGTTGTCAGCATTGAACTCCTTGGTGGCCGACGACTATGAAACACTATGGAATCCACTATGAGCTGTTCAGGGAGTTCGTTGACTGAGTGACACCAGCATTGAATTGGGATGTGATTTAATTAAATGTTTTCCTTTGTTAGGAGGGTACCGTTCTTCTTAGTTCTTGGCTGATCGGTTCTTCTATCATATTTGAGCGCCCACAGTTAGCACATTGGTATCTGTCTGAAGGACACATTCCTAATAAGTAATTGCCTTCCGTGCCCGAGAAAAATTTAGAAAAGTTAGCTGCTCAAATTGTTCTATCTTTCTGACTCAAAAAATCATTCTGCACTGAAACAGCATCTCCGTTCGATGGCTGCCACTGCTACGCTACTTATTTACCTATAAGGCCATAATGATATTGATATTTGTGACCGAGTCCCTTTCAACAAATGGAGAAGAACGAGACCATACAGTGTACTGTTGTCTCTATTTTTAGTATAGTATGAAGAAATGAAAAAAAAAAAAAAAGAAAGAAGATGCGTTTCTAGGACAATTTTTCATTTTAGAAATTGCATTGAAAGCCCGCTTTTTATCTAGGTTCGAACGTCACCTTCTGCTACCTGTGGGAAATGCAAGAATATTTCGCCCATGATGCTTGTCACATATTCAGCTATTTTTATTAAATCTTTCCCGTCTTTATGTCGTTATTATTTTTTTTTAAATACTCAAAATCTAAAATATCAACCGTTACAAAATAACAAGAACTATAATGAAAGTATTAAACGTAATTACGACTATGAATAAAAATCATGGCAAAAAAAACCCAAAAAACTTTCATATCTTATTACGAGTTTCTATTTCTTTTCAAATCGTTTGCAAAACATCATCGGCTCACCAATGACACCGTTTTTCATTTTCCATCATTCGATTTGTAATAACTCGATTCATATAGACAGAAAGCACGAATGCAGAACGTGAAAAATACTTTTGTTACAGTCTTTCCCGAGCCCGGAAGACCCTTTTCCGTCAGCATAGCCAGAATTAAAAATATATTCCTCCCCTCCATAAGTCCGGAAGTTGCTATCGATACGGTAAAAATGAAGTTACCGAGAATAGGTGCATACATTCATGAAAGATCCGTTATTTCACCAAAGGCAAAATATGTGTTGTTTACCTGCGTTCATTGAAGACGAAAACAGTTTTGTTAGCGGGCGGAGAAAATGTTTTCTCTGCATGACACAAAGGAATGGCTTTGATATTAAAAGACTCTCCACAAATATCGACAGTTATATCACTTAACAGTAACATTATTGTTTGGTATGACTTGATATAAGAAGTCTTTGACGTGATAGCCAAGTGGTAAAAGATTTAGTGAATGGAGGCATTTGGGGGAATTTGATGAATTCCCACACACAGTGTGAAATGATGGAACTGGTATTGCTCAAGTTAACACGTTAGGTAGTGAACAGTTTCCAAAAATAGTAATAATAATAATAATAGTAATAATAATAATAATGTAAATGTAATAATATGTTCATCAATGAGCGCACGGATGCATGCTTTTGAACGTTACGTTTCCAAAAATAATCTTTGTTTCGAGTAGTTGTAAGTGAAACCAAGTAGATAAAACTGTTCTGGAACGGTCGATGTTTGTGTTAGTCATGGCAAACGACGGTTTGAGTGTACTACCCTTGTTCAACAACTGATCAAGCAAGTATCTGTCTATATTTCTGAGATGCGGTATTGCCATTATTTACATTGTTCGGACTGTTGTCCTCATCTTGATTGCCATATTCACGACGTTTCGGCCGTTGTATGCTCCGACCTTCTTTAGGTTATTGAAATTTCGACTCGAACCATTCATTTCATCCACTGGGGTAGATTGTTCTAGTACCACGCGCCGTGCCTCTTCCGGATGTCTCAGTTATCTCCCTTTAACTCATCTCTCTAAGTTTTTGTTCACCACTGCAGTAACCAGGTATTGAACTCCCAACACTTTGGGTCAAGTCACTCGGTCCAACCACCCAGGGCTTTTATCCACTTGAGAACACATGGCCAACATGAAGACAACAGCCCGAACAATGTAAATGATCCAGCAAGATTCAAATTATTAAAGTTTATCACAATTGCACTATCCACTCAATGGATAGACTGCAGAACATTCTTGCAATCATCATAAAACATAATTTTCAATAATATCATGTATATTGGTATTTACTAAATTTAGGTCTGCCACAATGAAGTCATGATGTGACATTTAGTAAGGATCAAACCTAATAGAGCAATAGAGTAACCCCCTTACCTCCCAGCAGATGGCTGAATTGACTGATTTTTACTGCTTATCAACCTTTTGCGGGTTATTTAAAGCCAGTTAATATTTTTAGATTGTAAGAATTTCTTTTTTTTTGAGATAATAATGATTTACTGATATAAGTCCTACTAATAATGATTTACTGATATAATTCCTACTAAATAAGCCATAGCTGGTGGGTAGAAAAGCTGGATTCATACCCCTCCTCCCCAAAGGCATGTGTGAGTAAGTGAATATAACAAACCCGACTAGAATTGGAACTTGGCTCTCAGAGTTTCAATTCTGAGCCGTTATCCATTACACTGCCTGCACATCCAAGCTTACAGCACGTGGGATTTCCAAGCGGTCACCCATTTAGGTATTGACCAGGTCCGACGTTGCTTAAATTCGGTGATCGTACACGAAAGCGGATGAGTGAAACATCGACTAATACGAAACCCTATATAAAGTATGTTCCAATAAATTGGACCGATTTTAAATGTGAATTAAGTTTAAGCGTCTAATGATTTTTTTCTTTTTCTTTCACATTTAACAACTTAAGTCTTTGGCAATTTCAAGCATGGAAAGATTAACAAGCAACGTGTTAAAGTTATCGAAGCCTATTACAAAAAATGGACGTTCAAACAGAAACTGAATGAGAAGTCTCCAGGTCGATCATCTCTCGAAACAGCGAAGTCAATTGGCCACCACGATCGTGCGACTTGACGCCTTTAGATTTCTTCTTTTAGGGTCATCTCAAAAGGAAGGTCAATGCTAACAAGCCAATAACAATTCAACAGCTGAAGGATGAGATAATAAGACATATTGGTGAGATGGAGGAGCAACTATGCAGAGACGTCATTAAAAAATTTTGACCATCGTGTGGAGGTGTGGCGGACATTTGGGCGATATTATTTTTCACACATAATTGCCATGACTTAAATAACATGATCCAATAGAGAAATAAATAAATTTTTCACCAATATCACTGATTTATTTACTGTTGATTTTGATCCTTCTCAATGAAACACTCTTTATATTATATAAATCTAACATAGGTATACATACCTAATAAGACTTTTATTACGAACAGTTAATGAATTAGATAAACAATAAACTAAAAGAAATAAAATATACTCTAATGAAATTTACGTCACGGACACATGATAAATTCATATGAGGTACTTTGTATAAATCCCGACGATAGATTACCTAGTGTAATGATTTCGAGCCCAAATGTATACGTGTGTTCTTGTGCTAGATTAAGCTATATTAAGTATATAAGCCCATGCCATGGTTATAAAAGAACCAATTGCGAATGTGTATGGTAACGAGCTAATATTATTACAGGAAGCAAATACGGGGCTTATTTACTGCTAGTACTGTGCGCTCTCACAAAGTCATTTTGACAGGTAAGAATGTCATTGAGTTAATGGTTAAGTGCATACGTGCTTAACTCAATGAATGAGCGCATGCGTGTTGATATGATCGGGTTTATATCTTGGAGAAGCCAGTTGGGGAGAAATTTTGTAAACAAGATTTTAGCTTGTTACCGAAAGGAAGATATCAACGAACGGTCCTCGATAGCTGGAATTTTTTTAAAAAGCCAAAAACAAAACGGCACATTAAAATAATGATTTGAAATAAATACGGATTAATGTGAGAGATTTCACAAATCGTTGGAGCTACTAAGGGTATTTGGTATGTTTGTATGTTTTTGAATTTTTAACATTTTTTTTTTCAGTATTGCAATCTCGCAGTCGCCATTTCGTTACACTGGAGCCTAGCCTCTAAGAATTTGAACAATATTGGCTGCAAGAGACAAGAGTTCAGTTATCGCTCATTTTGGCAGTGCAGACCTCGCGCACGCGCAGTTGTGGATATTCATTCACTTGCCTGCCTTGATTTACTGCCTTTTCTTATTCCTTTTCCTACTTTTTTACATTTTATTTTATTTTTTCATAATTTTCTTTATTTGTTTTCATTTTTACATTTTCGGGTTTTCCGTTTTCAACGTGACTGCACTAGGAGCACGCAATCTCTTGCGGCATTTTCTAA